CCCCTCGCCCGGGCTCAGACCCCCCCCTCCCGCGCGCTCCTCTCGGTTCCCCCTCGGTCCTGCTGCGTCCACGTCGCGCCCGCCTCCAACCCTGGACTCCCTCCAAGGGCTTCGCCCTCCGTGAGTGCCTGACCGCAAGGTTTCCTGCTGGTGATTCAGTGGGTCCCAGGTGGGGAGACGGAGAGAGACGGGGTCCCGCGCGGGCAGAGCTGGCCACGGCCCCCTGCGGCCTCAGCCGGCCCTGCGCGCGCCCAGCGCAGCCTGGACTCCTCGCCCTGCTCCGCTAAGCGCGGGATCCCCCCTGTCCCCCTGCAGACCCCGACTGGGCCTCTTACAAGCTGGGGATCTTCATCTGTCTCCACTGCTCCGGCGTCCACCGCAACTTCCCCGACATCAGCAAGGTCAAATCCGTGAGGCTTGACTTCTGGGACGACAGCATCGTGGAGGTAGAAAGGCGCTCGCGTACAGAGCCTGAAAGCTAAAGCCGGGATGAAGGCACGAGGAGGGGGGAAACTGAAGCCCAGAGAGGGGCACAGCTCAGGAGAGGACACACAGCCTCGCAGATGGAGGCTCCCACAAGGGCCCTGAGTTCACATCCTGCCTCCTCACTTGCTGACTTACAAGCTCCGAGGCCCTGAGCTGGTTGCTTAATCCTAGCTCTGCACCTTCGGTTTCCACGGTGGTGGTATGGGCAAACCCCACCGTTCTGCAGCGCTGCTGTAAAGATTCATTGCCGGCTCCGTCTAGGCGCAAAGTAAACTGTCAGTTAACAGTTGCTGTTGTCATTAACGGGAGCCCTAGACTGGGGGACTGGAAATAGCCTGGCCTCCGGTCTGTGCGGTCCTCCTTCTCTCCCCCAGCCAGGAAAAGGACCACTTTGGTCTCCCGCCCCGTGGGCACGAAGGACGCCCTCAGTCGGGCGGTAATGCCATCGTGGCCAGTAAAGCCTTCAGAGAGCCGGCGCTTCCATGCTCTGCTGGTCGGCTAAAGGGTTCATCAAGGCGGGGGAGCAGATGACGCTACTGAGCGCTTGCTCTGTGCCAGGGACTGTATGCAACGTCACTGGGCTGGGTGGGTTAGTCAGCACATAACTCCTGTGAGCCCACTGTGTGCTGGGCGCAGAGGGAGGTCCCTCCTCATCCGGGCCTTCTGTTCTACTGCAGGAGGCAGGCGGGAAGCCCGTCCACCCACACAGGGTCCCGACGGATTTCATTTGTGCCTAGTGACTCCCATGTCCTCTTTTCTTCATTTTGGCAGGTGTGAAAGACCTTTAGGGCGGGCGTGGTGACGCACGCCTGTCATCCCAGCACTCGGGAGGCTGAGGCAGGAGGATAGTTGCAAGTTCAAGACCAGCCTGGGCTACAAAGTGAGCTCAAGGCTAGCCTGAACTGCATAGCCAGACCCTGTCTCAAAAAGACAAAAAAAAAAAAAAAACTTCACCTATGAGCACATGAGGTTTTTGAGGGTCATCTAGA